TGTCGTCTAGCAGAGCACTGTAGCGTACATCAAAATCCCAAGGTATTAATTTTCGAAATTGAGCCAAGAGCCATTTCGATTTCGATGAACCACGGCCTCAAATATTCTCAATGTATAATGATTAAAATACGATGAGCTAAAATATCGGCAACGGCCAATACACGATTTGAACGCGTCGTGCACATGAAATGTCGTGGTTGTACCTTGACGCGATTCGATCCATATGCTGATTTATCTAGCAACAACCGAATGAGAGTTATTCTGCGTTGCATACAATACAATTGATGCTTCGTTTTAGATTCGATCCAAGAGGTTGCTCATTCCAAATTCAAAAACATACATTGCGACGAGAAAAAAAAAGGAATCGCTCAAATTGAAACTATGTGTGTGTGTGTGCATTGCTTGAGACGAGAACGAGAAAAATTACGTTCAATGTGCACACACATTTTACACATGACGAACGATTCCTTTTTTTGTCTTCATTTTTTTCAACTTAATTCAATACGATTATGTAACATTGCATTCGTTAGCGACGTTGTATTTTTAATGCGTTTGCATTTTGCGAATGTTCTCATTGGAAAATGCGTTTTATTGTACCATGTTGTTACGAAAGCCAACATCAGAAAATTCACATCCGAATGCGAAAACGATTTTTATTGATAGTTATCGCTAACAAAAACAAATAAAATAAACGACTTTGCGGAGCGGTAAGCCAAAACATTTTTTTTTTGCATTTGGATAATAATCTCAATTTGAAAATGCGTCATCCAGAGAGAGAGAGAGAGAGATTGAGAGAAAAAGATAGAGAAGAGGCCAATCCTCCCTCTGATATATTGCATGCAATTTCGTTCTTAGCACTTTGTATCATTTTATTCTTTTCAACAATTGTCTGTCAATACGATTGACTCATGGTCGGGTTGATGAACATTGTTGGCATGGGTGTGCAATTGCGTACAATGTACGATTCGTTCAAACGACCTTGAATTACAATACACAATGATATGCTCGACAATGATCATTCCTGTGAACCAATCAAATGCATTCGCATAAACCATTATGATTCAGATCCTATTAGCAACAATCTCTTTTTACTGTTCGTTTTTGTTTTTGCCTTCTGCGGTCGTTGTTATTGTTGCGTTATGCAGAGCATCTATTCTGCATGATTAGAATTTATATGCCATAAAAGTGATTTTATTGCATTACAAAACGAAATGAAAATGTTTTGCAATGTTGTGAATATGTGTGTGTGTTTGTCCAATGGAATTTCACGATGTAAAATAGAATCGAAATAGCGTTTTCACGCATTGCAATCAAACCGATATAGATATATATATATTCTAAGAGATTTTATGCCAATTAATAAATTGCTAATGGCATATTAAAAATAAAAAATAATAAAAATACAAGCGTCCAACAATACCATAAATCAAACGATAAAAAACAATAGAAAAATTTCATTTTCAATTTTAAGGCTGATTTGAGCTGAGAGACCGCACTGCAATAATTTATCTCTTGTTTTACCGCTGGCCACGGTAACGGAAATGCACGTTATAAATTCTCTCATTTTGTCGATTTACCGACATTAGATCATTTTGCAAAGTGCCCAACAGGCACATAAACCTGACGAACACGACGAAACCCAATGAAGGGATAGAGAGAGAGTGAGAGAGCGAAGAAGATAGATTGTTAAATATAAGCGGCAACACGCTGTTAGACAATCATTGAGTGTCGAACAATTTGATGTTAAACGGTCAAAAGTAGTAATTTCATCGACACAAGTCGTACAAAGCACGGCTAATGAATGATGGGCATAGCACTAAACAGTGTATTAGCCAAATACACACAGTCATATAATTAGTTTCGCCTGCTTATAGCACACACACAGCATATAGCACTCAATTTTTTTCCTACTTAGTTGTTCATGTTGCTAAACATGCTGTCATTAAAAAAAGAAACAACATCAAACTTAAGAATTGGCTGGTACTTTTTTCGGCTTCACGTTCTTCATTTGAAATTGAATTAAATAGCGTGTGTTGAACAAGTGTATAATTCTATTATACGCTGATTCAGCATATAAATGATATGTTATCGGGGCACTTTTTTCTTCTTCTTCTTTTTATTTTCTCAACTCATTAAATGGTTGATTTGTTTTAGCTCGAACAAGAGCCACCGAAGTACATCGTTGCGTGTTTTTTTTTACTACCCGTGCAAGAATTTGCATTAATTTTTTTTAAACGAATCTTTATGATTTGTTCAACTCTATTTCTTCTTAACTCATTAGATAAAATCTCCATCATCAACTGGAGAAAATTTTTTATCACCTATTTTTTTATACAACAAAATATTTTAATTATTAGAAAATTAAACGTATTATCAGGGTTTAATTTGCATATGAAATGAAAGTGTCAAGAAACCACCGCGTCAAAAGGCACTAATTTTGTCACGTTATATGTCAATAGTGGCTAATTATCGAGAGAAGCACAAAACAGTAAAATTCCACAACCAATTCACTAAAACGAATTCGCAGTGACAATATTTTTTTCCTGCTTCTCTCCGCCGGTTTTTTTTCGTTCAATGTTTCGTTTGTTAATTTCGTGATTGCGATTCGTTCTGGTGATTTTAAACCGAAACTTAAATATATTGCTTTGAGATTAATATACCTTTATTCTTGAGACAATTTCGCGCCAGAGAGGTAGAACAGGAGAGAGAGCGAAATTATTTGCGATGTTATGTGAAACGCGATGCGTTCGTTATCTATCTCATTGTCGCTTTGTGATTCTCATCATTATCGAAAAAAAAATGTACCGTTTTAATGTTTCAATCCCGTCTGCTATGGGAATTTATCGAAATAAACTGTACTATGTTTTGGATCACGTTTTCTTTTTTCAACTGGATTAAAGACTCCATGAACTCTCGACGAATGTGTGAACCGGCCCGGCCATATATCGAACTAGTTCATGAAAGCGACCAAGAAAAATAAATTACAGACCAACAAGATCAATGTATTTGGTATTTTGCATACAAAACAATTTCCATTCTCATTCATTATAAATTGATGCTGACGCTCTTTTAATGTTTAAATAAACCTTTTGATTTTTCAAAAAAAAAAATCCGATTGAAGAACGCGCAGAATTGACATCAACAACAAGAACAACAGCATACTCAAAAAAGCCATCAACAAAAAATTGGCCATTGCTAAACGAATTATGTATCGAAAAATGCCAAAAATATGCACCGGAAAAATGTAACGAGATAAAACAGCGCATTGTACTGGCATTAATTCGTAAATGATTTGGCTGCTTCACATTTTTTACTGCGTTCATATTGCGGGTCAGTTTTTTTTAAATATTTTTTTTTTTTCATCTTCTTTTCATGTGTGCAGACGTGCAGTGTGTGTGATTGAAGCCAATGCGCAGAATAAACTCTTCGTCTTTTTTTTCAAAATGTGTTTTATGTTGCAACGGTTGCCGAATTTTTCGAATGATTTTGGACGTACCGATTCAGTCAATCGATGATGTGAATGACTGTGGTTTTTGTGCCGCTTGTGTACGATGCACGTCTACTCGTGGCGTGTCCGGAGTATGTAGGTTCACATAAATTCAAGTTCATAACATTTTTCAAGTGCATGGTTTGCATATTCGCATTTTTATATGTACGAATGGTATGGGGACATGGTGGTGTGAGTCATTTTTATGCAGGCAAAAAAAGTGCACACGAACCGTGAACTCTGACGATAGAGACGGGCTCGATTTCAACCAGATAGTAGAGAGGAGTAAAAAAAAGAACATTACTTGTTGGTGCTTTTTTTCTATATTTCTCTTCATTTTCACAGACCGACATCATTCGCGCATAAAACATGCGGCATTTTGTGGATAAATAACGTGAAACAACATTTCATATCGCATCGAGAATAGACAACCAACGTAAATGGCCATCGTAATAACGTCATAATAATCGTATCAAATTTACAATGTGAATAAAGTGAACGGAAGAAAGGAACAAGAATTGAAATCGAACGGTGTTTTTTGGTGAGAGAGATGCCCACAGTCACTGAACACAAAAACACATAAAATGGAAATCAATAATTTATAAATGACGCGAAAATTGTGAACCGCATAGACGACCGCGGTCGACCGGAGAAGAGAACAAAAATAAATATATAACGTGCCATTTAATGCACACTCTACACTCTACACCTCAAATAAATCAATTTTTTTGCTTTCTTCGGTGCGTTCAGCTGTTTCGGACCATTAATTTTAAATACAATTCTGTCGACAACTAAAAGTGAATTTGATTACAGGAGGTAGGAAAGATGATCAAAAGAAGGAAAAAGAACAAGTGAAATTTTATAAGCACAAAAAAATATGATATTAAAATTGTTACCTTAAGAATTTAATTTCCATTATAATTTTTTTTCTGTTTTCAACTTCAATCAAAAACTGCAAGTTAAGAAAAAAAGAAGAGGTTTTATTTAAATGTGCGAATCTCACAGTCCCGGTTTTTTTTTGTTCGGTTTAAAATTTAATTCGTGAAAAAATGGAAAATATTTTAAAAATCTCAAGAGAAAAAAGAATTTGGAAATACACTGGATTGCTTTTTTCACTAAATTCACTTTAAAAATTTGAAATGAACACGTTCGAGCACAAGCCGCATATTGAATGGAAAAAGCCAAAAAAAAATTACTTAAAATTATTTTTGTAATTTCGAACCTTGATATAATAAAAACGAAGCGATTCGAATGAATGAAACAAAAAAACGTTACTCCAAATGAAGATCACGTAGAAAATTTGTTGAAAAGTATTGTGTTTGCAAAAAAACGCATCCACTTACTTTGATGTGAAAGAATCAACTGAGCTCTGGTTCGATTGCGATTGCTGTATTATACCCATTCATCGGCAACAGCAACAGCAGCACCATCAAGAACTCTCTCGGTGTAACAGAAAAGCCGACCGAAGAGCGACAACAACAGTAATCTCAGTACACCGTTTGTGCCGTCATCGTGTTCGTCTCAACCGCAGCGCACCATCCATTCGGTACGATGGCTTACCATAGCGTTTGTTGTGTTTATTTATTATTCTTTCATTTTTCATTTTTGTTTCGGTTCTTTTATTTCTGTCTTTCTCTTTTTTTTCTTCTCTCTCTCTATCTCTTTCATCTTTTCATTTCAATCTTTCTCCCATGGACTTTTGTTGTTCATATACTTTGAATGCAGCGAGAAAAACAAACCAATTCTTGTTTCGATTTTTTTTTATCATAATTTCATTTCGGAATTCAGTTGAAAATGCTCGGTTTGTGTACAAACTAAAAGAGTGTACAACATACATTTTGTACTCATTGTTAACGAAAACTAATGAAACCGTCACGAATTCACAAAGTATACACGGATATACGAAAGAGATCGTATGCATTTTTCGTTGACCAAGGAGATTCGATCAAATTAACCACTAAGCATAGTTTCACGTGCTTGCGATTTGTATGGCTTTGAAGCCAGCAAATGTAGGAGAGAAAAAGACTGAATTCGTCGATTTCAGATGAAAATCGGTGTGTATTTGTGTGACTGCAACAATTTAAGATTTGTTTGAATGGTTGGGTAAGCAAACAAAAACCACTGAAATTGGTTTATGCACGGAACTTGCATGTTTTTCCAATATTTGTAGGCTGTTGTTGATTTACAAATTTTCGATAACATACGTTGCCTCATCGAGCCATGTCGATGATGCCCATGTACCATGTAACGAAAGTGCACAATGTACAAAGCATTCATTCATCATAAACGTGATGCATTGATAAAAGTGTTAGACATTGTCATTAATTAACATTATCCATTCCAAAAACAAATGACCGTACACATATTTTGTATGCACATTGATTTTCCATTCCATTGATTTCGATTTGATGGATCGTCGCTGTTGCGATTCTCTCCCCCCTCTCCCCATCTCTCTATGTTTCTTTGCAAAATTTTACGGATCAATCAATGGATGTGTGTGCGTGTGTGTGCAATTTGCCACCGTCCGATATGTAATTATTCAAGAGTGTCTCGTAAATTGTGTTGTATAAATATTGCCACTGGGCTATAAAATTGCAAGATAGTGTCGCAAATGATGTGTATTACAAGCAGAGAATAATGAGTGTTGGTCTGTGGTTGTATCCGTACACGATTCACAATTGATAACTCCTATTCGGCGAAATATCGGAAATTCTAAAGATCTGCATCCACATCAACTATGCACCCCACCAGCTGCCTATTGATGTTGCTGTCGTTTTCTTCCTTCAAATGATTCATTAACTTTCTTTTGTATTAGTCATAAACTTTCTAGCATTAGCTTAAGCACCGTCTCAAATTGAACTAGGCAAAACGTTGTTAGTTGTTTGCAAACAAAAAAGCGCGCGCACACACATACAAATGGTTTTATGTGCGCTCATGCTGGCTGCTATAATACTTCGCTTGATTTATATCGCGAATGGTGCGACCATCATCACTTACAGCTAATCATGTGGCTCGGCAGAGATTTATCGGCATTTTTCACGATTTTAGAGTCCGCAAAAGAGATGCGAAAGATTGCATATTGCTAATAGAATTGCGATCATCATCAATGTCAAGAATGTTTAAATTGCATACTATATCAACATTAAATGTGTTTGCTTACGAATTGTAAATATTTGTTGGCCGCGAACTAGCTGCACTTTTGCAAAAGGGTCAGGAGCAAATAATAAATATTGAGTGGCTCGATTTTGTGTGAAATGTGAGCGTGTGAGAGATATAGAGAAGGCAATGGAAAATGTATATATTTAACCAGTGATCACCGCTCGACTATAACGCCCATGCGAGATCGATAACGGTGAATAAATATCATTATTTATGTTTAAGTTGAGATTAGTAAGCCCGATCAAACGACTTCGAGTACAATGCATGCAAAAAATAGTTTAAATTCATTAGATTGATATTATGCAACCGTTTTGCAATGCAATTCAACACGCACATTTCAATTACTCCGTATTGGCCGTATCATGGTAATATCACACAACGAACGCAATATACTCGAATCGGTTTGTTTTCATCACATTTTCGTGCATTAAAGATTGAAAATAAAATACAAATCCTTCGTGTTGTGTGTGACTGCAGCGGCCGACCATTAAATACCTATTTGTCAGAATTCTTTGCAACAAAGATTATATGTATTCGTTTACCCCACAATTTCTGTGCGAAGAAAAAAAGACGATCATGCACAATTGTTTGTATTCAGCTGATTTGGCTGAGTATCTATGGCATGCGAGATATCAATTGTGCGTTTGTACAAAATAAACATAGTTTTATTATTATTGCTATTTTCTTAGCGATATTTTGGTATTTTATTGAATGTACGGTGCTATCCATTTCGTTACGGTGCACTTCAAGCATTTGATGTTATTGCATTTTGATATGTTTGTGTGATGCGCATCAGGACACGAACGCCATAAAAAAAGTTATGTAAATTGCGCGCTGCAGAGAATCATGAACAGACATACAACCAGGTTTACTTTTATGCTTTTCGTACATTTTGTTTTTATTTCGCTCTTTTTTCGGGCACTTTAATTCTTTCGCTACTTTTTCCATCTTTTTTTTCTATTCCAATCGTTATAATTGGCAGTTCATTAAATGTGCGCTTATTTTAAAACAAATAAATCGCATTACAAATCATAAACCAGTGCAATTCTTTGCATCGCAGATTTTTATGATGTTTTCGTTCTAAATGAAAGCAAGGATATCATAAATTTTGTTAAAACTTTGTTACTATTCTTATTCTCCTGAAGAAAAAAAAGAACAACAAAAAATATGCGCTATTAATTTCATTACCAGCATGGTTCAGCTCAATGAAACCGTTGATGATCGTGGAATTTAGTCATAATTGTCGTGCGAAATCATCACCAGTTTACGTCACATAAATTCACCGACATGATAAATGAAGTGCTTTGAACGAATTACATGACAAACAGAAGTGGTTTAGATAAATGCGCACGCTGAAAAAAAAAACATACACAAAAACACGACGAAGAGCAACAGAATGTGCTAAAAACAGACAACAACTTCTTAGAATCTCAGGTATTCTCATCGTCGTTTAACGTATCAACGTTAGAACAATAAGAATGGAATTAAACTTTTTAATTAAATGTGGCAAATGAATGTTATGAACTCCATTTTAATGGCAAAAACACACAAAACCCCAAACGAACAACAAAAAAAAACATACAGAAAACTCAATGCCATATTTTATTTTTATTTTTCATCCATGTCTTTTACTTTTATTTCCGTAGAAGAACAAGTGAAACGCGCTGCAAGATACGATTCTTATTTTCTTTTAGCACATTTCAAAGTGAAATTGAAATAACAGCGAAATAGCAATCAACATTAAAATGCCAAATATGCTATGAGTGTCTGACGCTGGATTTTATGTGTTTTGGTCTGTAGTATTTTTTTTTCTCTCGCGCTGCAGTTTTCTGGGCGTTGCGTGCTGTGCCGTGTTACTATTATATATGAGGAAAAGAGAGAGAGAGAGAGAGAGAGAGAGAGAGAGAAGGAGAAAGACGTTGGCCCATTCCCATGCAAAATGCGATTAAATTACTATGATTTTCTTTTGAATTCGAATGTGCGATTCATTGACCACCACCAGCAAGTACATAAACCATATTTGAAGCACATAATGAATGGCTTTTTAAAAAGAAACATGTGAATGATGTGCTTTTGGTGCAAGACAGTCTAGATCTCTAAGACAATAAAATAAACACCCAGCGCATAATTAAATTTGATTAATTTTATGCTGATTTCCAAGTAATTGGGTATCAAATGATGCTGTGCACACATATATGTATGTGAGAGAAAGAGCGAGTCACAGTGGCTGCAGGTGAATGTGCGTCTGGGCTTTTTTTTCTCCCAACTTTCGTGAAAGGATTGAGGCGTGTCATAGAAGCTGCCAAATTGTAAATCCTCTTGGTTCGTTAATTTTCATTAGAATGGTTTTTCTAAGAAGTCATGCGTTACGGTATAAAATGTGCGAGCAATGGGTAGCTATTTTGAAGTGCACATAAGTACTTTGTGCTGTTCCTTGTTGAATTAATTGAAACACAAATTAAAGCGTGTCATCGTAATAAGTGCCTGTTTGATTGTATCAAATGTTTTATAGTCGATTTTCTTAATTTCGACAAAATTCGCTCAACTTTGTTTGCCGCACATAAAACAATCAATGCAATGCCCTGTGAGTTTGATTTGATCGTTCGACAAAAAATCATTTCGGTAACCGATTACTCTTTGCTCATAGACGTAATCTTTCATGTTGTACGCGAAATGGTAATGATTTTGTGAGAAATTCTGTTATCATTTTTCACAAGTTCATGAAAACAATCACCCGTAGCAAAGTGAAGATGATGACGGTTTCCAGCATACAAACTTACACACACACAGCGACGTCGACTGAACAATTAAAACTCATAATTATTATCATTTTCTGTTTTGTTTATGTGTAATTTTCACTACAATAGATTCATTAGAGAATGGTATAATTAAACTAAAAGCCACGGCTGCAACGAAATCAACGACGGAAAAAGCAAATGGATAAGAAAATAAAAACAAGAGAGAAAATGATGATGAAAGAGTGAATTAAACATAAAATAAATGTAAAGAAATAGAAATGCTTACAATTTCTTCTGATTTGAGCACTTCGGTTAAAATGGATTAGAGGTTTTTTTTGTTGTTGTTTCATTTTCAACTCGACACAAAAGTACATACACACACACACACACACCAATACACGTATTATATGCGCATTTGCTGTAACATGGTGCAAACAGTAAAGAACCGGCACTAGG